GTGACATGACCAAAACACTCGAGACAGTGTTTCATCGGCTATTCAAACACCTCGAATTACGTCAAAAATACTCCGCTGCGCGTCGTATTTTTAATTCTCTTCTCGGTGTTTTGATATCCCGATGAAACACTGTCACTCGTGTTTGATATATTACATGCAATCGTACCGGTATGGGACTCAAGGGAGGGTGTGGGTCTTGGACATAATTGTCTTAAAATACGATAGGCATTATATTTAAAGGTGTTATATATCGCATCCCGCATAGAAATCTAAATATTCGCAGGCATTGTTATCGTCACGGTGTCTGTAAAAATCATAAAAGCCGAGGGAAAAATACATTTTTTGATAATAGTAGTCATGGGTTGGCATTCGATTCAGTTCTGGATTTTTTTCTTGCAACTGATATTTTTTAACATGCATAATAAATAATACTCGATTCACAGGATTCTTTTCTTCAAGGGGTTATGTTTTTGGAGCCTTTCAAGTAGAAAAGGTGTTTGTTTTGATAAAATTGCACATACCGCATTTATTTTCCCTTGTTCGTCGACTTCGCCATGCATGAGGATGATATAGAAGATGGAGAAGGAGAACAAATTTTCCTTAATTTTCTCGACAGATGCAAAGAAGGCCGCAATCATCGCCACAACAGCTTGGCTTCTGGTGACAATTGTAATCCACACTGTCTTTTTTGGAAAAGTTCGGTTCGGCCTACAAGTGATTTCCCTTATTTTGTTCATCCTACTTCCGGCTATCAATCACGTCAGAATGCTCCTAGCTATTCGTCGCCATAACAGTCAAATGGTGGGCCAAGTTGGCGCGCAGCAGCTGTCAGTGATATTTAGGCGGGAAAAGAAGGTAGCCGCTGACATGGTCATCGTTGTATTGGTCCTCCTCGCTTGTCTTGGACCAATCTTGGGGGTCAATGTGGCCTATAATTTGCACTACCATGAAATTCACCGCCGTCTCTACCCCTGGGCATTTATGATGATGTATCTCAATTCATCGATAAATCCTTTTCTCTACTTGACACGTAACGGAGACCTCAGAAGCGCATTACGATCGGTTGTGCGTTCATGCTGTTCATGCTTTTAAAGGAGCTACTACGCAGAAGCCAAGAAGCATATTTTACTTTTATTATTGTTAGAATCATTATCATTTTCATCATCATCAATATCTTTGGCTTTATCGTTATCGTTATCGTTTTCATTATTATTATTTTTTTTTTAATTTATTGCCACACACTTGTAATATTTACAATACATTTACCTACATTAATTACAATTCTAAAACAACTAATTACTCCACTTACAGTACTCCATTTACTTATACTTTATTACAATACTTGTCTAATGCCTATCTACATATTACCCAAAAGTTACATTACGGTCAATACAGTTCTAAAACCATAGTACAAGCACACTTATAAACAAATTGCAAATTAAGGTACAGAGCCCATGCACAAATCCCACTTCTTATTACATTTGTCCATGTTATTGGTATTGACACATATAAACTTTTGTTTCATACTTAACTTTTGCCTTAAGTTTAAAGGCGTTTATAATAGGAGTCAGATTTCTTCTGCAATCCCATATATATAATTTAGCGACCAGTATCAAATAGTGCAGTAAAGAGTAATAAATAATGCCAATCATGACATCTTGCAGAGTAAGGTGGACGAATTCTCTTGTCATTAGGTCATTATTATTATCATTACCATCATCATTATTATTAATGATTATCATTATCATTATTATTGTCATTATTATTAGCATTGTCATTATCATTATTATTATAATTGTCATTATTATTGTCATTGTCATTATCATTGTCACTATTATAATCTTTATCATTATCATTATTATTACTATTACTTTTATTGCTATTAGTATTAGTGGTAGTAGTAGTAATTTAAACTTCTTTTGAGCGAAAACGTCTGTAATTGTCATCATCATTGTCCCCGTCAACGTCATTGTCATTATTATTGTCATTGTCAGTGTCATTATCATTATCGTTGCCATTGTCATTTTCAATGTCATTGTCATCGTCATCACTATTATACATGCTGGACACATGCAACGGTCAAAGAACAAGAAGATCGTTTGACCATGCCCGTTACTGCTTGTCTTAAGTGCCTTATTTTCCACTGGTACAGAAATGGGTTAAGAGTTGAATTCAAGAAAAGCAGAGTTAATGTCGAATCCCAGGCGAGGTCAAAAGTCGGTGAACGTAATCCAGTGAGAGCAAATATAGATATGATACCATATGGAATATAACAAGCCAGCAATGTCATTTGTAACCACAATGTACTGGACACTGTCTTCCTATATAGCACTATGTTGATTGAAGGTCCTCCTCCGTTTGGTTGTTGGTGAGCTTCTTCTTGTACTTGCGCTTGATGATGTTTAAGTGTAAGATGTATTTTGATGTAACAGAACGTGAAGGTAACTATGCATAATAACATATTTATGTACATGATGCGTATAGCGATATCGTGGTAAAGATACAGTATTATGGCAAAAGCAAAGCTACTAAGCCAAAAACTGACCACCAGGAGCTTTACTCTCCTCAAAGTTACCACCTGCCTGTATCTTAAGTTTAACAACAGTACAAGAAGCCTGTCCACACTTATTACAGTCAGTGTTAACAAAGATACTCCGCAAGAAATTGCAGCTATTGTATTACTAAGGACTGCAACATAATAACAATGTTTGGAATGCTTTTGGGACAATAAAAAGCTAGCATAGAGAGGCTGGGCAATGAGGCCCACGCAGAGATCGGTGATTGCAAGACATGATAAGAGAAGTCGTGATGGCGGATGAAGAGACTGCACCTTTTGAAGAGCAGCAATGATCAAAACATTCCCCAAAAACGCAGTGATAGATAGAAGACTATTTATTACTGAAAGAACTATCTTTTGTTGTGTTCCATAAAGACCTGTCGTGCAGTTTATCTGCTGAATTCTCGTGTGGTTTCCAAGATCAGTTAAGTTCTCCATTTTCGTGTTCTTTTTCCCGCTGTTGTTAGAAGCATTAATTTAGGTTGTCATCTCTTCGTCTTCTTCCTCTTTCTTCCCGTTCGCCATAAACACTGTAACTCTTGATGTTTTACTATTGAACAAAACATTTAAATAAATGTGTGAGGAATTACAATCGAAGTTCAGATAGTCTCTTTGCAAAACTACCTCACAAAATTACCACACCTGCTATTACGCGTCGATCTTGAATTTTTCCTACTCATCTCAGTATCCTCTACAGACCAAGTCGTAGTTACTAGTGAGATTTATTTCAATCGTGGATGAGAAGGATTGAAAAAAGACTCCATACAGCTGCCAAAAGCATCTGCTGAGTGTAAACAAAAAAAATTCAGGCTGGAGATCAATAAATATTAGCAAGGTGATATCAAAATTAAATTAAAATGAGACATTTTGAGAAAGTGTGTCTCTAAACTGGGCAGCATCTAGCATTCTCCAAACAGACCTTTATTCCTGTATGTTGATTTAAGGAACATAAAAGAGTTTAGTATTAATCGATAAAGCGTCCGAGACACCAGTTTTTCATTCCGTGCTAAATTGCAAATAGCTCTTTTCTTGTAATGAATCATTTTCAATAAATCTTCGAAACCAACTATGACAGATTCGAGTCTTCTTCCACTCTGAACTTAGGTTTTAATTAAATTTGAATATTCTTTCCATTTCACAATCCTAGTGATTGACGTTCCAAAAAAAACCTTTTTACTTTGCCATACAGTTTTGATTAATTAGTTTTTGGAAGGTTGGATTCAGCGTCATAATTTAGGCCCCATCAGCACTATCCAGGAGAAATTTGAAAACACAGCTTTATTTCTATGGTTAGGCCTACCGTTCACACTCATCCGTCAAGAAAAAGGAGCCTTTCGAAAACTTTCTTCAAACCGCAGGAATATAAAAATCCCAGTTGCGCTTAGCGTCTTCGTGTGGAGAGAAAACATTTGAAAATGGAGCTTTTCGAAAACGATAGCATCACGGTATTCATCTGTTGTTTGTTATTCATCGGGTTGTTCGAAAGGTGGATAACGCTATCCACCGGATAAATCACTATCAAGCGGATAGCTTGGTTTATTTTGTTAACACTTTATATCCACTGGATAGCGATTTGTCAGGTGGATAGGGTTATCTAGCCTTTGAACAACTTGGGCCTAATTTCCCTGCCAGAGCGGGACTAGTTTCTCGAGCACAAATCGAAAATCACAGGTGATGGTTGCGTTTTTAAATTTCTCCGGCGTATTGCATCCATTTCCAATACACCCAAACTGAGTCGATTCGTCTGAGGTACTTGACGACTCGACTCGATTCGCACGGGGTCGATACGCACCACATGACACTAAGACCCATAAGAAAATGATCACATGTACCTTCCTCGTTGCTAAAACGTGACAACAAATAGCCTGCGTAGCTTGGCGGTTTAATATTTTTTAAGCAGTTTGAGCGCGAGCGCACAAAGCGGCAAAGCCGCGAAAAACGAGTGGTTTCTCAGTTGTCTCCCTCGTAGGTTCCTCGCGGCTTTGGCGCTCCCTATCACGATTCACGATTCGACACGATTCGTCGCGAATCGTCTCGAATCGTCTTCTGCTGAGTCGAATCGTGTAAACGGAAATCGACTCGCGGTAGGCAATAACTCCGGTGTCAAATTGTTGACGATTCGACTCGATTCACACGATTCGTCGCGAATCGTCTCCTGCAAAGTCGAATCGTCTGAACGGAAGTCGACTCGCGGTAGGCAATAACTGGGCTGTCAAACTGTTGACGATTCGACTCGATTCGCACGATTCGTCGCGAATCGTCTCCTGCAAAGTGGAATCACCCGTCACTGTCGCACCATTAAATCCATTAAATACTCAGAGTTTAAAAATATGGAATGAAAAAAAGCATGTAAAAAAGCCTGATCTAAACAGTGGAAACATAAGTAAATGACACAAATTTATTTCGTCCAGTATTTCGTGTCTTCTTCTTTAATTTTAAACAAAGACATGGCAAAAAAAAAAAACAGAGAGGTACTTTTGTCTTGAAGCAACACCTAATCGATCAAGAACTCGGTTGATCGTTTCCTTCCTGACCGTAGATAGCCTCTTCATTATAATGTGGAAAGAGAATAGCAATAGGCCATTTCCGGGTTGATTTTTGCCTCTGTTTCGAAACGAGTCTTCTTGCGAGACCACTCATATGAAAATTTGTTCCGCCTACAGATTCAGTTACATGCAAATCAAACTCAGTTTCATAAGAAAGGTTTTGCACAAAGGTTCGTTTTGAAACAGAGGCGCAAGGAAACTCAGAAAGGCCTACCGTATTCATATCGAATAAGACAGCTAACGTAAAAAATCACATCCGATTGGCAGCGAACGAATGAATTTATTCAAAATCATTTTACTTTTTACTTACGAAATAGCCCTTTTCATGGTTAAGTTTTTTCTCGTATGCATTATAATAAAATTCAATTTCGATGTGTGGTAACTACGGTGGAAACCACAATTGGCGGAAATTGCCTTACATTCACGTTGGACTATAGTATGATAAAATTTTAAAAAAATAACCATGAAAAGTGCTCTTTTGCGCCATTAAAGCGGCCGCCACAATGCTTTTTTTTTTCTTTAAACTGCACTCAGCCCAAATGCATCTTATTTCAGGCCTCACCGCCCGATCAGAGACTCGTAAATTGAAAAAACTCTAAACTCGATAACAATTGACTTCAAATTTCTATGCATGTGAAGGTGCGTGCACAGCAGAATGTGTACGAAAACGAAAACCTATTTTAACGGCATTTTTTTCCGAAGCAAACTCCATCATTTTTCTTTTGTAAGCAATATAAGAGGAGAAATAGATTTTTAAGCTCCTGCCGCAAGATAAAATTTTCCCCATATTTCGGCGTAAGTAAGTTGGTTTTTTTTTCGTAATGAAAGCAAAAGAAGAATTAAGACGATTTACAATTCCTGACCCCCCAATCAAAGTATTGTAAAAAAAAAAAAAATTAACGTATTCATTTAAGCTTTTCATAACACAGTCTAGCAGACCACATTTCAAATTCAATATCGGTCTTATATTTTAAGCATGTTGAAACTTTAATCGATGACGTTTAAAATAATATGGATAAGTAATGATTCTATTCCTTACTTCTAAACATGTACAAATGTGAAGATTCAGTAGCATTTAAAACATTTTCAACCTAATGTTTTATTGGGTTTCGTAACTGGGTGCAGTCTAGGTATTGGATATTTTGTGTTTAAATGCGTCATAAAAGCATAGCAATTATCATCACTATTACGTCATTATCATGATAATAACTTTACAAGAAAGACAGCTTAGTGCAGTTATAAATTATTTTTAACAATAATATTTCGACAATTCGGTTTTAATCACGTTTACTTAAAAAATTGTGGTCATACAGTGGTCATACATAAATATATTACACTTTGGATGGACCTACAAGAGCAATAAAAAAAACTGATACCACAACTTCTTTTACTCATGTACAGAATATTTGAAATTAAACTCAAATTCCACCTCTAAGCGAAAAGAATTTTAACACAAAAATTTTCTTTTTCGCCTCATCTCAAAGACAAAATCTTCCATCCAAGATATCTATTTGCGTTCAATGCAGCAGCTGCAATTTCTACCTAAGGGTTATTGTTCTTAGTAAATACTTATGTCTGCCTTATTTCTGGGTATTGGCCATAATTTGGTGAAAAACTTTTCGCCTCTAACTCGACAAGAAATTAAACCACTGTTTAACCATATTTTTAACTGCCTGTCTCACTCCGTTAATCTTCCAACAGTAAAGAATTGGGTTCAAAGTTGAATTTAAGCCGCCGAGAGTTGCGGCTAACAAAGAAGCAAGGTTGATCGATGGAGAGTAGCCCTTCTCATACTGTATAGAGCTTATTATGCCATAAGGAAGATAGCAAGCTATCATTGATAACTGTACGTATAATGCTGTTGACACTGTCTTTCTGTATCGCGCTATGTTCAATGGTCGATTCATTCCCTCTTCCGAGTTCGGTTGTTCTTGCCGGACAATGTCCTCTTGCATTGCATTTCGACGACGGAGTGTTAAAAAGATCTTTGCATAAGAGAAAGCAGAAATTGAGAGGGATGAAAAGATGGCTGCAGAAATTACCGTTGATATTACAAAGTAATTCCAAAACATCCTCACAATGCTTAAAGAAATGTTTAAGAACCAGACGAAAATCAGCATTGCCTGGACTCGCTGCAAAGTTACCTTGTGCCTGTACTGCAATCCCAAAGACAAAGCGAGTAGTCTGTCGATGCTTATTGCAGTTAATGTGACCAAAGAGACTCCTAACAAGATCCCTGCAACGACCTCGTTGATTGCTACCACGGTGTAACAAAGTTGCATTCGTTCATGTACCGTTGATATCAAGTGGATGATGAAGACAGGTTGTGCAATCACTCCAACGCCGAGATCGGTAACTGTAAGACATTGAAACATGAGTTTCGTCGGAGGATGGAGGGAAGATACCTTCGGAAGGGCAGCAAGGATCAGAGCGTTGCCCAACGATGCAGCAAGGACGAGAAGAATATTCACAGCTACTAGTGAATAGATGTAATATTTTTCTTGTGGGGAGCTAGTACAAGTTACCGCCTGTACTGTGTCGAAACTGAATCTATCTTCGATACCACTGGCCATTAATCTTGCAAATATTACCTGATTTTAAGGTAGAACTTAGCAGAATCCAAGAATTTTGCTTCACTGTGTAAGTAAAACAACTGTTTCATCAGCTTCGAGATCATTCTCTGTTTTTCGGAAAGAGCAAAGACTTAAGATTATGCATTATGCATTATGCGACAGGGATATATTTTTCCAGCTGCTGAGAAATTGTCACACAAATGATATTGATGTTATATCTGTTTGAAAAAACATTAAAAACTAAGCAGTTTCGTAATAGCCTTTCTTACTCTACCAATAAATCTGAATGAGAGTCTCATGATCGAGTAATTATTAAAATTCTAGTCCATTAACTAATTTAACATGGTTTTCAATTCAAGCTTCGATCGACGCGGACGGCGGAAGTTTTTTGTTCTCGATCTCTCTTGATTGCCGGATCACCATCAGTCATATCCCCCGTCGAATATTTTCGGTTCATTATTACTTCTTTGTTTTCTTTTTCTTTCCCCTAAGAAGAATGCTTTTTAGGTTTTCTTCAATTTGAATTTTCTCGTTTTAGCATCTGAAAACTCACTTGAAGACGTCAAGTAAGGTGCTTTTTTTAATGTGCACAAAGTCCAAAAAATTTCCATAAAAAGGTAAAATCAAGATCTGATTTCGATAAAATTTGTTGTCGACCTAATGCTTGGCTTTGGATTCAATTGAAAATAATATTCCAAACTTCTCCTGAAAAATGTTAATTTAGGAGTCAAAATTAAGTGGTCTAATTTAGTTCCTGATTTGCAAAGGAAGCCAAACAGAGTTTGTCTGAAATGTATTTCATTTCATTTTGGCTTTTAAACGTGCCAAAGTTTACTCTTAAAAGATAAATATTGCCTATATGTCGAAGCCTAATGAATACAGAATAATGTAGGCTAATCTAATGACATTTAAAGATGATTTCCAGTCCGTACTGCGCACTTTCCAGTTTTAGTTTACGTTTTTGTCTTGCTTCATGTAAGACATAACAAAATGTAACATTTCGCAATTTAACAAATTGAAGTCAGTTTTTCATGCGTCTGTATTGTTATTGATCATGAATTTCGTCATAACATTTTCAAAGTAGCTGTGGATCCACGGGGTGATAGCCGAGTGGATCGACAGACTACTTTGGTAATGTTATGACGAAATTCATTATCTGTAACACGACAGACGCATGAAAAACTGACGTCAATTTCTTTTTTACAATCCTTGGCTTGCACTGTCACGCAATAAAAAATAATTCAGTGGATAAAGTTAGGGATTGTGATGTTATAAGACATTGTTAAAGAAGACACTTCTCCAAGTTTAAGTCTGTGCGTTTTCCTAAACCTCAGATATATATATTCGTCGAAATATTTTGCACAAATTTACAGAGCCCAGTATGGAGCCGCCATGTTAATGTACCTCCGTGGAACACCAACATGGCGGCCGAAAAATAGTGTAAACATCTGGAACTTACTTTGTCTATGTAGGCGACTGATTATCTGTAATGAACAAACAAGCATTAACATAAGCAGTTTTCCTAATACTTTAACTCCTGTATAGACTAAAAATCATGAGATAAGTATGCATTTCTCGACAAACGCGTTCTTAGCTTCATGTCACGCACCGCCATAACTCTGAAATTCAAAATGCGCAGGTTTCCAGACGATTCAAGCTACTGAGCTGAAAAGTTGTAAACAGATATAAATTTACCCCCTCTTATGCCTGATGAGGATAAAAACTTTGGTGGCTCGTTAGTTTTAGATTTTAGAAAATGATGACGTCACGTGCAAGCCAAGGATAGCAAATTGTCAAATTGTCCGCTCTCGCACTCGCTCTTGCTCGTTGACGCATCGCATAAATTATAAATCCATGTGTCTGTCGGCTTATTGACAATGAAAATTGACCAATGAACGCGAGAGAAATTCTGAAGTTATCTTAGAAAGATTGTTTTACAGTTGTCTGCTCGGGCGGTGACCTAGCCTTTGAATCACACAATCACAATCACAATCCTTTATTTACCCACGCAACATTTAGGAGTAATAAAAACTCGTTAAAACATGTGCGTGTTAAAAAATGGAAACAATAAAATTAAATTTAACTAATACAAGCATTAAAAATATTTTGATAAAAAATACATTTATATCTATTCTCTATTGATCTATTTACAATCACCATACAAGTTAGAAAAGTTAGAATGGGAGCGCGGCTATTCCTTGTTTTGATAAAGACCTCACTGCTTTTGTTTTGTAAATCAAGTTGTTTTAATGGTTACTAGTGACACTTATATGAAAAAAGCAGTGAGGTCTGTATCAAAGCAAGGTCACCTTCAGCCTCGCTGCCATTCGAAGGCCAGGTCACCGAGCTGACAAATGTAAAATGGTCTATTACTTGCATGAAAAAGATTCAAAGTTTCATGCCAACCGCCATTATAGATACAAATCTTCATGCTTCGTTCTTTTGGGTTCACTGGATGAAACAACTTCGTAGTATCAAAGAAACTGTGGGAAAAAGAATTTAAAAAGCCTCAAAGATAAGGTAAGGACCGGGTCGTATCGAATAACATCGACTCGCGTTCCATCGAGTGGGGCTCACAGGGATTGGGTTACTGAGATTGCGCAGTGCGGACTGGAAAGCATCTTTAAAATTTAACAGACCTTTCTCTAACGGAAGCCGCGTTGTGCGTGGCTTATCGCATACATGTAAGTCGCGAATCTTCCGTATATTTATCTGTCAGGTATTTCGTTACAAGTTACGAGAGTTCAACAGTACAGAGATTCTCCTTGGCTATCAGCAATTTTCTTCGTGGTGGTGAGTTCCCACCAAAAATAATGGCAAATAATGTAATAATAATAGTAGTAACAATAATAATGATTAAAAATCCTTTATTAAATTGGTTTAAAAATTTCAAAACCTTTGATTGAAACGCGAAAATCAACTTCTTTCAATGTTGTGCCAGCAGATAATGACGTCATAAAATTTCATGTGACGTGCATTATTTCATGATCTCTGAACAGCTGCTATTTGGAATTTCTTCTTTTTTCGGATAAAATTAATTAGAAAACAACAAAACCTAATAGCAATAGCGATACCTAATAGCGATCGGCTAACTTGAAAATGATCTAAAATGTTACAGCTATCGAAATAAATTTTTAAAAGTTTTAAATACAAACGGGAAAATTCAAACTTTGAAAATCGTGCTAATGAAATTTTATGCTCTTGTTGTAAAACCAATCTCTCTAAGCAATAAAATGCCATACCAGATTATTTCCCAACAAATGAATATAATCATTTCTTGTCTAATATACAAAGGATATCGCTACCTTGTACCGGAAAGTTTAGAGCCTTTATTTAGAGCAACTAAACCACTGTATGATTGTGTTCTTCGCTTCCTTTCGTACACCTCTGATCCTCCAGCAGTAGACAATCGGGTTCAGAGATGAGTTTAACATTACGAGAGTAATTGTTAATCTAACAGTAAGATTATACGAAGGCGAATAGCCATTAGCTGTCGTAATAGCAACAACTACAGCATAAGGAAGGTAACAAGCTACTAACAGTAACTGTACACACAATCCCGCGGACACCGTCTTTTTGAATTGTTTTATGTTCAGAGGACTCATTCCTCCTCTGTTTGGTTTGCCTTGCTGAGTAACGTCTCGCAGTTCAGTGCGATGACGACGAAGTGTTACATAGATCTTGAAGTAAGAGAAAGCTGCTATCGCCAGAGAAATGTAAATCAATGCAGAAACTAACCTGGAGATTAACAAGTACTTCCAAAATCGTCGTAAACAGACAATAGAAATGTTTAGGATCCAAATGATGATCATAATCACTCGCGTTCGCCTCAAGGTTATTACTTGCCAGACTTGTGTGTATCTCAATCCCAAACGGAGAGCAACAAGCCTATCTACGCTTATTGCAGTTAATGTAAACAACGACACTCCGCAAAAAACTGAACTGGTTAATTCATTGAGGCTTACCATGGTGTAACAAAGTTTTACTTGTTCGTGGGTTATCGACGTCAGCTGAATGACATAAAATGGTTGGGAGAAAAGACCAACACAGAGATCCGCAACTGTTAGGCATCGAAACATGAGTTTTGATGGCGGATGAAGCGAGGAATCCTTTCGAAGGGCAACAAGGATCAGGGCGTTTCCAAGAGACGCAGTGATGGCCAAAATCACGTTTATAGCTGTTAGTGATTGCATATAGTGATTTCCATGTAGGGACGATGTACAAGCTGTTGCTTGTATTGTCTCGTAGAGCCCTTCCTTCATGATTCTTGAAAGCTATAAACCTGAAGGTAACACCTTGTTAACAGGTGATTAGCGAAGTGACAAGCTATTTGTTCCTACCTCAAAAATTGAAGGTAACCCGATGCTAGCGGAAGGTTGGACAACTGACAAGATATTTGCTCCTGCTGCTTCGTCAACGTTTTGCTCTCAAACCGAAAAGAGCAATGTTAAACAAATTATACTCCATACTTTTAAGGTTTCTATTTAACCAGCTGTCTCGATGAGGAACTAGGCATTTAATTAAAAACTACGAATTTCCTTTTTGTTCCAAACAAATTGTTATTTTTATTCATAGTATTTTAGTTTGTATAGCCTGGTCGTTAAATTATCCTCACATTTAAGAGTGTTGCGAGAAATTTTCTTTCTTGATTGCAAGTGCAAATGAGTTTAATTAAAAACTACGAATTTCATTTAATTAAAAACTAGGCATATAATTAAAAACTACAAATTTCCTTTTTTTCCAAACAAACTGTTATCTTTATTCCACAGTATTGTACAGTATAGTATTTTAGTTTGTATAACCAGGTCGTTCAATTATCATTACA